TAAATTGAGTTTAATACTATATTGATCAAATCAATTCATTTATTTTCTTATCAAATTCAAGTACAGTTTATACATTCCTTGAATCTTAAATCTTTTACAAACTTAATAAGTTTTCTTTTCAATTCAAATCATAATTAAGGCTCAATTAATTATATACTTGATACTATTAATTTAAATATATAACTCAATTATTAAGCATGATCAAATTTATAAATTTTAAGAAAAATTGGTGCAATTCATTAAGTATTATTTAAATTATTGTATAAAAATATAAATATTAATAAAAAAAAGTTCATATCTATGTATCCAACTATTTATTTGATATTTTCATTTCATATATAAATATCAAAATATAAATAATTTTTAAAACTTATAAATTATAAAAATTAATAAAATAACACAAAATAAATCATCAAATAAAAAATTAATCATCATTTTATATTTTTCTTAACAAAACATTTATTAAATAATAAAATTCAACTAATCATGCTATATTTGATTCAATATCATCTTACTCATAATATAATTTTATCTAGAATAAACCATAATATCAAAATTTGGCTAACATTTAGATATCATCAGCTAATAATACAATGTCATTTTAGATATCATAGAAACAAACAATGACTAACTAATAGATTCTTTAAATAAAGTCCCTCCACCTCAATGTTATACTTTTTTTTATTAATAATAATCATAATATGTTGCAGCTTCATTTGGATGGTCTTTTTGAATGGAGATTATTATGTGCGGACATTGAACAGTAGAATCGTCCAGTCGCGCTTAAGTACGGAGCAGTACATAGTACCGAGTGGTACTGAGTACCCAGTGATACCAAGTACCAACCCCTGTACATTTTTTGAAAGATGTGATGAATTTTTATTAGTCTTTGGACAAATCCAAACCCGCATGGAATATTTTTTTCTTTTCGACTGAGAAAACTGCGCGCCAGCTTCCGAACGGACGTAACGATCATGGTTTACAAGGGCCAGTTCGTTCTTTGGACCCGACCAAGTGATAAAATTGTAAGCTCTGGTTACATGACCTATTAGCACATGACAGCCTCCGCACGCCTGCTCTTTTACTCTGTTCTCTCTATCCACCGTCAAAACCACCGCGACCTCCACCATTTCCTGCCGTTGAGTAGCGGTATCACGGCTACGAAGACCCTTTGTTGCCGTCGGAGAATCCGATTCAGTTCTCAAATGGCGTCCGGCGGAATGCAAGCTCCTACTACGTCGACGCAGACAATGAGATTGCCGAATGGAGAATTCTTTGAGATTTCAGCGGCTTCGGGCGTCTCCGAATCGGAGTTCAGGTGGATGGCCTTTCTATAAATGTTACTAGAGTTTGGTAATGGGTAAAAATTCGTGTGAGGACTTTAATCGAACAGTTGATGTGCATCTCTTAGACAGGTGAATGCTTTGGTTTTTCAAACGATTTTGAAGCTCCCAACCCGCAGCTGAGCTATGCTTTGATGCATGAATAATTTGAAGTCTGATGCAAAATTTGGGCTGTAGTATTGGATATTTTATTCCAAATGGCTTCCGTTTAATTTTGTTTTGAGAGTTTTGCCGTAGAATAGCTGGCGAAATATTTGAATAACCGATTGAAGACATTGGTTCTAATTCATATTTCTCAGTGGCTAGCTTTATATATTCCTAAAGGTTGTTTATTTGAGATATAAATATTAGATTCTTTGATTTTTATTTTATGATCACAGAATCGCCATTGAATCGGCTTTGTTCAAACAGTGGCTGAAGAATATGCAGAGTGAAAAAGGTCTTCTAGCTGGTGGACAAATGCATCTGCAGCATGTCGAAGTTCAGGTATTCTCTGAAGCTTTTTTAGGTACAGTGCTATTTGAAAGAAAAAAAGTGTGGTTGTTTATATTACAATATTTGGTAGTAGGATCTTACCAATTCTTCTGATCACCTTTTTTCTTTTCATTTGTTTTATTTATTTATTTGTTTATTTATTTATTTTTATAGATTTTCTGCACTATTATGTTAAAGTTAAACTGTCGTTGCATCTAGCCTTGTTATGTTCCAAAAATTGAGGCAGAGATTAATGATTGATTTTCATGTGCTTTTGTTTCTTTCAATATCAAACATACAATCATATAAATAAAGGAGGAAGAGAGATAATATATTCTTGTCAACAATTAAAATAGAAAATCAAAGGCTTTACCTAATTAAACAACATTAATCTATATGAATCAGAAATAAGATCCCACCCCTCTCCAAATTGGAGAGGGCATAATTACAATGTATTAAAAAGAGTTATCTAAGTTGAGGTGGGGACTTTGACAATTATGATGTCAAGATGTAGTTGATCTTTTTGATGGAGAATATATGAACTAGTTTAAGAATGGTGGCTTTAGCTGACTAAGATGATGAGTATTATGGTAGACATAGAGGTGGTGACAACATGAGCCTAACGTCAACAATAGTTCAGGGATCAATAATACCAACTATGGCTACTTATAGTGACGATCAAATATGAAGGTTGGGATGTAAATGCGTGCCAAATAAGTAATAGATGACAATACACAGTGGGGTCATTTAGTAGAAAACTAGTTGAAGATGGTGTTTGTTGATAATAGTGTTGGATGCAGAGTTCAGATGATTCAATATTATGTTTTGAAATTAATCCTCCCAATGATATATTCTAGGAGTCTTTTTATAGACTTCAAGTGGGGTATTCATGTCCTCATTCATAATACTCTTTTCATTTGTCATCATTTAATGGTGGAGACCTGACGTTAAACTCTCTCATGATCAAATTATGATTATAGAATACTTCATTTAGACTTACCAGGCCGATTCACACTATGATGATCCATGGTGGGTCATAAGTGGTAATAGCTAGAATTTGCCATTGTTGATGTCTCAAATCAATGATCTAAATATACTTGATTGTAGGTGACAATCTAGTCAGGGTATTAGTGATGATGGATTGAAGAGCTGGTAATATAATGACATAAGCGTCCTTAGATGTTCAATTAATGGGGCAAGGAGTTTAAAGAGTGATTGCTTCCCATTTGTACAATTGCATCAAGAGTCATACTTGATATGTTAGCAAAAATCGTCTTGATTGGGCATGAATCTTGAGGCATATTTGATTTGGAAACTTTCAAAATTTCAGGGCCACCCCAACTCTAATTTCAGAAAACTTATAGTTGATATGAATGGCTGGACGAGATGAATTTAGCAACTTCAAAAATGGTACAATCCGAGCACGAATGAACCTAAATCAAGGGCCTGATGTGTAATTGAAAACTTCAGGCAATTAATTGGATGACTAAATGATCTCCAAAACGTTGAATCGAGTGACTCAATGAGACAAATCCAACGAGTCCAAGATTGCTTAATTCTGGCATAATTAAGCCACTAAATTATGAACAAATGCTTTATGGTCCAGGGAATAAATATGGGTCGTCCGATGGTGTGATTCAGTTTTTAGCTCTATTTACAGGCATGCCACCCTCCGAAATTCATAAATAGACCTTCATTTTTTACATAGAGGAAGGCCTTGGAGCTGGAGCCTGAATTTTCTCTTGAGATTAAAGAGAGCTTTAAGGTTTAAGGATCTCAAAGCACCAACATCGAGCTACTACCCGAACATCGCTGTCAAGCCTTTGCTGTTGACCACTACGGTCCTTGAACCGATGTTGCTCGACTACAGTCCTCTAACAACCATTTCTCGACTACAGTCCTCTAACCACCGTTGCCCAATTATGGTCCTTCGACTTCTGTCACCCGCTAACCACCATCCTCAGACCACCGTCGCTCGACTACGACCTTTCAATTATCATCACCTGACTATGGTCCTTCCAAACTATGTCGCTCACCAACTACGTTCCTCAGACTAGGGGTGTAAACGAGTCAGGTCAAGTTGAATGCCTAATCAAGTTAAGCTTGTTTAGTTGTTACTGAGTTCGAGCTCGTAAAAAATTCATAGGTTCGAGCTCAACTCGATTGCTCAAGCTTATTTAAAAAGCTCAAGCTCAACTCGATTATTGAGCTTGATTTCTTAGTTTTAAATTAAAAAATCAATGTTTTTTAGATTTTTTTAATTTTAATATAGAATTTATTTAAAATTATTAAAATATATTATATAATATTAATTTAAATTAATTATTAAATACATTTTAATTTAATTGAGGGGCTCAATGAGCTTTCGAGCTGAGTCAAGCTTGAGTTCGTTTAATATACGAGCTCAAGTATAGGCTCAAGCTCAAACTCATGGCTCGATAAGCTCGACTCGCGAGCCGGCTTAACTCACTTACACCCTTACCTCAGACCATCGTTGCCTGATTACGATCCTCTGACCCCTTCGCCTGACTATGGTCCTCTGATCCCCATCATCCGACTACAATCATTCTAACCTCCATTGCTTGCCAACTACGGTCATCCGACTATCATTGTCTATCTACAATCATTTCTAACCCCTGTCTCCCATTAACTATAGTCCTTCGACTGTCGTCGCTCGATTGTGATCCTCCGACCACTTTCGCCCGACTGCTACACAGTTTAAGAAATGAACTTAAGTTCAAGTCCGATCCTTCTCCTTGATAGGACGTAAGTCGACACGACTTGAGCTAATGAACAAATATACGGTCGCGGTATCGACTGAGATATTTGATTTTATACGTTCATATTAGGCCTTCAAGGCCTATAAACAAAGAAAATTTATTAAATAAAAACATAAAGCCGACTCGAGCCCGATCCTCTGTCAGCAATTAACAGAGTCTACAGAGTTTAATCAATAAAATACAATTGCCCATTAATACCCCGATGATGGCCGTGTTGACTAAAAAGCTCAACCGAATGGGTTAGTTTCAAATATTTAAGATGCCTCCCAAAAGCCTACAAAACTTAAAGTTCAAAAAAAAAAAAAAAAAAACCGAATGCAAAATATTTAAAAATGAAATTAACCGTCAAAATACTTAAAGCAAAATCCATTCACCGTTCACAACAGTTTGTTGAGGTGGACAATACGAAAAGTACTGCAGCTCACAATGAGCTAATGTTTGGTTGAGAATATCACGAGAATTTATTATCAAATAGTCTCTTGCCAAGAAGGACGTGACACATGTCCTCTAACCGACAGTCTTGCTTCCAAATGATACTGCAGGTAAACGGTTATAATCGGGGCCCTCTGGCCGGGTGATTTGTGATGAAATCAAGAATTATGTACTTTTTATTTTGTTTGAACATTAGTATATTCTGTTTTCTTTTTTATTTTCTTTTCTTTTTTAGCTATCCAATGATGGGAAAGCATCCAATGATCATGGTAGGTAGTGCATATGACTTGGTAGACATGACACTACTAAATAACAGTAATGGTCAGAGCCCGTCTGCCCCCCAATGAGGCACAAAATCCTCTGTCAGCTAAAGTGGGTTCAAATTTGTCCCCTTAGACAAATATTCACCCAACGTTTATAAGGTATCCTTGGGCGGCGCAACCTATGGCTACCGACAAGGATCCTTCTATCAGGTTGGGTCAACTACCTCCTCTAACTAAGTAGAACAGGGACCTGATGGTCCGGGATGATGGAACCATGGGATCTTGATCGGGCTCATCATCATTCCCCCCACTATTTGCTTTAAATGAAAGATGGTGAAATTTTTAATTTTAAATGTTAAGGTATTCAAATATCAACCCATCTACTACTATACACCAGATACCGTGTATTCTTTACGTATCTGATTGACAACTAGCCTTAATTGAAAGTTCTCTCTCATTATCGGGAGGGGTAATTAATTATAGGGGCTTGTGTCTATATGAAACTAGAACTTAGATCATAAATTCCTCGCAAAATGAGGGCAAAATCGCTGGGTAGTGTCTTATTTACAATCTAATATGCCTTCTGAAAATTTATCCCGAAAACTAATTCGTTAAAACTCTCCTGAAAGAGGGGGGCTGGCTTGCAAATCTTTGAAGCCCACATCTCTCCCCTCTACTTTCTTTTTTCTCCTTTCTTATCATGCTTCTTCCTTTTTCTACTTCTTCAAATTCTTCCTCTTCGTCTCCTCCACCTACTTTAATCAAATCTTGCCAGCGGCAATCCCACACCCATTGTACACCTTGTCCTCTTTAGCCAAACCCATCTTTCTACAACTACACTCAACTCTGCAGCCCACCATTTCATCGCCTACAACCTACTCAACACCAAACTGCAAGTGAATTGCAACATCAAACCGCAAGTGAACAAACATGAAATAAAGAATAGGTATACATCTCATTGAAGACCCCGCGTTTCATTGATCTTAGATCTGACTGGGAAGATTGAATATTATGTGAAGACTCGCGTCTATTGTATCTTTACTTATATATTGATATTAATAACTCATGTCAATGAAATCATCTTATTTCAAATGTTTGCTCTCTATATGTATGATATTGGAAGATTACAACATGAAATTTACACTAGGCATAAGTGCAATTTGTATTTACAAATAATATCAAATCACTTATAAATCAAATGAATTTTTTGTAGCAGGAAACATCAACATATTTAAGCTATGTCATTGATACGTTCTTGGTCTCTCTCGAGTGTGACGATTATCACTCAAAATCATCAACATTAAGACTTGAAAACCATTGAGATTTTTCATGTCTACTACATAAAATGAAGATGAATTTTTAATTAAAATTTCTATTGAGACTTTTATTAGACACTTATGGTAGTATGTTGTTTGGATGCCATTTTTATTTAATGTACACTATGTACGAACAAATGTCATAAATATTTATCGCTTAATGTACATGATGACATTATCTTAGTTGGCAACACAACGATCATCCATAGTCACTCTAGCTTTCTCATGTGGATGATTAATATCTAATTCAATTCCAAGATTAAAAGAACATGACATACTAAATGAAATAAAATATGAGAAATGCTGACTCGGTCAATCAAAATTATTGGTCATAGACCCAAATCTAAGCTAGATAGATCTTAGTCGATTTAAGGGTGTCAGTGTGATATTCTCAAATGGGTTGCTTTGCACAAAATGTGAGGTTATAAAAACTCGTATTTAGAAAAAAATCATCCAAGATTCAGGATAAAAAATACTTGCAAATGCTATCGAAAACCTAGGTCAAATAGTTACAACTATCTAATCTCTCATAAAAAAATCAAAGCTATTCTCACTAAAGCATAAGATGATCTTACAAAGCAAATCATCCAAATTCGAGCATTTCAATGGATGTAAGCCCCATCCTATTCAAATTCAGGCCTTTCAATGAATGCAAGCCCCAATTTAATACAAATTTATAATTGTCTTGCCTATAGGGCTAGCTTGTATGACCTATAGTTCATGCAACTCTTAAATAGAGCAATAAGCCCCAACCCAATTAAATCTGGGCTTTCTAATAGATATAAACCCCAAATTAATCAAATTCAGACATTCCAATAGCTGTAAGCCCAAACTCAAATTGTATCCGAGCCAACTTCCATGCAATGAGCCAACTAAATTAATTAAACACCCAAAAATCAGAAGAAATTAAAAATATATATAGTCTCCTATTTCTACTCGGGATCCTTAAGAGGAGGCATCCATGGTTGTTAATCAGATTCCCTGTATGTTATGGCGTATGGTTCGTTAACTTTGGTAGATTGAGATTGTTAGTATTCCCGGGGTAATGGAACATGGGATCTTAATCGGGTCTATCTTCATTCCTCACAAACATCTTCTATTAATCCAAATAAATCTTAGAATACTAATATTAAATTTAAAACCATGTCATAGTAATTTATCTTTAATCGAGAGTGCTCTCTAATGAGTTAGAGGGATGATTAATTATGAGAACTTGCGCTCATAGGAAGTTGAGACCTCATATTTAAGTAAATCTTGACATAAACATTAGGGGAAATTTGATTGATTAAAAAATTAATCTACTTCATGAAGAATGAAACCCTAACCTAGAAGATGGGTTTTGGTGCATCATTTTTCATGAGCGAACACTCGATTTTAGCAACTTACTACTGTACCGCTCACAATAGGTTTGATATTATTGATGCCATTATGCCATATATTGCTCATACTTATCATCTGTAAGATCCTCAGTTCACTTAGTGCTCGAGCCTTGCACATCGGTCACCTAATAGAACACATCAGTCGCCTTACCGAAGCCCATTTTTCACACACTATCTCACAATTGAAGCTTAATGATCGAGGGCATGCTCCAGCCTCTGCATAACAGGAAATTTGAACCAAAGCAAGAGACATCGTGAGCCGCCTCAGGAACAGCATTAGCAGCAAGCACCTTAAATTGAGTTTCAACAGCACCCACCTCAGTGGGATAGCAGCATCAGCCTTACCAATTTCACTCTCACTAAGATGATAAAATTGCTTTGCTGTTTCAAAAATGCACTTCAACATAAGTAGGTTTTAAGCAGCTGCCAGTTGCACTGCCGCCTATAGTTTTTTATCTTCACAATTTTTTGAGCCCTAAATTTGTTAGTTGGAGGCCTAGTATAACCTATTAGTAGTCAATTTTAGGCCCAAAGTCAACCTTGTGCGCTTCCGAGTGATTCTGCCCTTTGGATCTAGTAGACCCTCCTGATACTAGTTGTTCTAAGCCTAGATCTTGCCTTCTAGTGCTAATTGAGCAAATTTAATAGTTTTCTCTCCTTTTAGCGTCACCTTTTTGGTGCCAGTATTCTTTTTATATGCTTTTTGAGATCGATTTCTTGAAAGCCCGAGTTTCACCTTGAATCGTGTTATTGATTTCTTAATGCCTTCTTTTATGCATTTGCATTGTTCTTCTCTCGACCTTCAGGTAATCATACTATTTTGGTGCCATTCGGCCAATGACCTTTGTCTAAGTGTCTCTCTTTGGCTCCTGCCACCCATTGCTAACTCCTTAATGCTGGCATGTTGGATGCCCACGCAAATATTCTCCTCAGTTCCATTTTCTCCTATTGGCTCTCTCACTTTGGTGTGTGCTACTTAACATTTGTCTTTTTAGCACCGTTTTTTTGGTCGACATTAGAAATTTATAAGTATGCATATTGAGATATTTAAAAACTAATTCTATATTTCAATAGAAAATTGCTTTTGGATATGCAAGTCATTTTCTCTATCAGGATGCTCAAGGGGATGAGTGGCTTTACTCTTAAAGACAGGATATGAAATGAGTATATACGTGAAAAGGTTGGAGTAGTTCTAGTGGAAGATAAGATTAGAGAGAGTCGCCTTAGATGGTTTGGTCACATAAAACGACGACCTTCTGATGACCCGATTAGTAAAATAGATTTATTAGATTTGACTTATGTTAAGAAAGGCAAAGGTAGACCTAAAAGACTTGGTTAGAAAATATTAGAAATGACATTTCTTTTTTAGATTTTGATGAGAATTTGACTCTTAACATGACACAATGGATAAAAAGGATTCCTGTAGCCGACCCCACATACTAAGATAAAGGCTTTTGTTATTGTTTGTTATTGTTGTTGTGGGATTTTAATCCTTGACCTAGTATGAGGCAATAAATTTCAACAAAGGCTATCTCTTTGTTCAAGTGTAAAAATTTGCCTACGTGCTAGCTCTACCAATTTCCTGCTTTGACTCTCTTTCTTCTATTTTTTATGATGATAAGTTATAAGAGCAGTTGATTTTTATTAGATCTATAATAATCTAGTTTTCATTATGCTGTGTGAAATTTCAATCGCTAACATGATTGTTGTGATTAGTATTTTTTAATCACTAATTTTTAATATATGGCTAAAATATTTTATTTAAATTGGATTTTACTGTTTTAGTTTACATTTAAAGTTGTAAATAAATGGTTTAAGATTATCATACTATCCCATGAAATTTGCTGCACTCTTTATCGAATCCAAGTCTTCCTGACATTGTTAGATATGCATTAAAAACACTAGACTCTAAACATCCAACCCTGTTAGATCTTATGTTTAACAATTAAAAATAAAAATTGAAATGTGAGGAGGAAAGTGCATCCACAACACACACACACACATATATATAATCATGCAATGTCCAATCACCACATAAAAATCGCTCATTCAAGAAGCAAATTTTGATCGTTGATTGAATTTTCATAATATAATCCAATTAGATCAATAAGTTCTTAGTTTGGACATTAACATCAGTGATCTTGATTTTATAGTTATGGTAATAGCATGAAAGCTAATTGTCTGAAGTAAGAACCTTTCCCATATAAAAGATAATACACAATCTTACCTTATCTTTTTTTATTTATTTTTATTTATTTATTTTTTTTTTTTTTATGTTTACCTTATCTATATATCTCTTGGAACATTTATTTTTACAGGTGCTCTTGACACTGAATTTGACACTAATGAAACTGAACATGGCTTTATAATAATGATGGCGGATCATCTGTGCAATTGTAAATAGCAAATATATTTACTACCATGCTGAAGGAACAACTGGCTGTCAAACATTTTTATTTTCTTAGAATAGTTTCTTTGTTTATCTATCGTATGGAATTGAAAATATACCTCAAGCTGATAACCGAGTTACTCCAAAGCAGGGAATTGATATGTTCGGAAACAGTATTGGCTTTTTAAAATTCAAAGCTGAGGTGTTTGACAAACAAACTGGGATGAAGGTATGATTTGATATCAGGATCAAGTTGCCTTTCAGAATATCATGGTAAATAAATAGATCTCACCTGTTTAGATTGTCTCCTTGAAGAAATAGAAAATTTCTGCTTGCTGCAAGAAAACTTGACATTGTTCTACGCTTGTATCTTCTAATGTTCTAAAAGGATAAAATGGATGGTGAACAGATTGCAAACTAAAGCTAAAACAATTAGTACTACCTCTAAATTTATATTGGATACTAACTAAAACTGAAATATATTTTTCTATGCATGACAATTTTCAATTTCATTTTCCTGTTTCGTATACTTATTCTAAAATCTATGTAACACCTTATTGTTTTTTAAATTTCTTATATAGAGCCCATTACAGTGCAAGTTGTACAAAAATAAGCTGCCATGCATGTAATTTGAAAAAAAAGAAAAAAAAGGTGTGGAATAGGTGCACTGGAAATTTTAAAATTTCTTTTTTTTTTAAACATCCTTTTCTTTATTGGTCCATTTTTTTAAGTCTCCATGTAACTTGATAAAATTACACCTGCTTTTGTGATTGTAAATAGTTAAATTTGGAAGGATGACTCTTTTATTGGGCTTTGTTGTAGAACTTCGTTGCCACTATCACTCTATTTTAAGAGTTTTGGTAATTGCTGTTGACACATGATAAACATCATTGTTAATTTCCAACGTCTTTTTTAAAAATAACCATTTCACTACCAATTATTTTAACCTGTTTAAGTGTTCCACATGCTAAGGATAGTCATTCCAATTTGCCTTTATATCATATCCAGCACATGCATTAGAGTATTGTGAACAAATTGGGAAAAAAATTTATTTGCAATTTGTTGTCATGCTACATTCTGTTACAGAGTTCTGCAAGCCAAAGATGTTCATTTCTCTCTGCATCAAACATTGGAATGTTTGGAATCACTTCAAGTTTTGTTTCTTTGCCCATTAGTGAGAGGACCTGGTGCTTTCCTCTTGTAAAATTAGAAGAGGAAGTCTAAAAGATTTTTTAGTCTTCTAAAAGGAAATTGGCACTATTTTTTATTGTTTGGTCTAGAAGAATTTAATAATCCTAATAAAGTATATATATATATATATATATAAACTCATAATATATGAATGTAGATATAAAAAATAAATTAAGCGTATAAAATCTGGAAATGTTTAATCATATAATATCATTATCATTTGCCTTAACCCAACTATTTGGATCTACTTTATTAACCCTTGTTCTCTAGTTAATTATGTTGAGTTATAATATTTTGAAGTTTTTTATGTGCAAAATTTTGTTGAACACACACATGTGCACATAAATATAATACATCCGAAGTGAATAGCATTACATGCTTGAAATGGAAGCTTGTAGATAGTTGAACCAAGTACTCTAGTCAAGCCAGATGGATCCTATTAAAAAAAATAGCTTAACTCAAGTTTTTTTGAGACTACCGGATTTGTCTTGGACTCAATCACAGCCACATGGGGACTCATCTAAATCTATTGAAATCAAATTTAACTTGGGCAAAATAGATTCAATGATGTGGTGTTCTACTCAGGACACCTAATAATTATGGTGTTCTGCTCAAGAATGCCAGTAGTGTTTGTATTGACTAACTTGCTAATGAAGTATGGTGTGTTGGACATAAATTTCCTAGGTCCCTCTAAGTTTGGCCTTTTATTACCCTAGGTCCCTCTAGTTTTGACTTTACTATCCTATGTCCTTTTTATCCCCTCTAGGCTAAACTTAGCTATTGTAGACTTTTTTTGGGTTTGTAGTTTATTTTCTCAGGTTTTTTGGGTTGGACTTTAGCATCCTAAGCCCCTTTAGGTTGGACTTGAGTATACCAGTGTACATTTGGGTTGTACTCTAGTATCCCAGTGTTCCTTTGGGTTGGAAAGCCTTCGTAATTTTTGCTTGACTTAGATGTCACAACAACTAAAATGAAGAAGAAGAAAAAATCTATGAGTGTCTAGTGGGTTACCCCACAATTCCAATACTTTCTTGACCTATATTTTATTTCACTGAAGCATAAAACTTCTCTACGCCTGCTTGAGCTGTTTGCCACAACAAGAAAACAGAGGAAAGAAAGATTCAGCATTTGTTTAGACTCACGTGAAGATAATCCTTCTAATACATGGTAGGAGAATGAAAAAGTCAAAGAGATTCCCAATAATGAGAGGCCTTGGACATCTATGGTGGAATGTGGAGATATGGGATTGCAATGCTTACGTGATATGATTATCACAAGAGCAAAATGCAAGACTTCACAATGCTTGCTTGGTTTGCTTACTTTAGGGAAAACTAAAGGATAGAAAGGTTTGACATTTTCCTATAATGATGTGGAGGGGATTTTAACAACACATGGTTTGCATGCCAAGAAATTGGGAACGCCTAAAAGTTGATTATCTTGCAGTTCCAATGCCTTCCTGACCTACATCGCAATAATAGAGCCAAATACTTCTTCATGCTTGCCTGGCCTTCTCGCAATGACAGCTGATCAAAAGAATTCAATATTTACCTGACTGTATCGCAATGACTAATGAAGGACAAGCAAATGCTTTGGGAGCCAAGTGAGTTTGGACATTCAAGAAGGGACTACAAGCTCCACAAGTCCAATTTTTGCTCACTTGATCATATTGTAATGATAGATTAGAGGAAAGAATTCTATGTTCACCCAATCTCAACACAATGGCAAAGAAGGGCTCGAGGGGTTTGGGCATTTGAGGTGGATGAGAAGACCCTTAATTCCATTGTTTGCCTGAGTTAGAGCAAAGGAAAAGAAATATATGGTGAGACTTTCCGTGCTTGCGACGGCAAAACTAAAGTGTGGATGGAGAATGAAAATCTGAATCACATGGATTCAAGGAGCTCTATAAAATATTTTTAATTGTAATTATTAGTTTATCTAAAGATGTATAGCCTATTCTATATATGTATAAAAGTTAATTTTCATAATATAATATATGATAACTATTATCAACAAAAACAACAACAATATCAAGCTTTTGTCCCACTACGTAGGGTCGGCTACATGAATCCTTTTTCGCCATTGTGCCCTGTTAAAAGTCAAAATCTCATTTAAATCTAAAAAAGAAAGATCATTTCTAATATTTTCTAACCAAGTTTTTTTAAGTCTACCTCTACCTTTCTTAACGTAAGTCAAATCTAATACCTCAGCTTTACTAACCGGGTCATCAGAAGGCCTCCGCTTAATGTGACCAAACCATCATTTCTAATATATGATAACTATTATCGGCATAAAAAAATGTATTAGTAGGTAATATATTATATATTATACATTTTAATACATTATTTACAGTGAAACTAATAATTATTTACCATATATTGTACATTTTAATCCTATTCTATAATTAGTGTGTTATGTAATGGTTTTAACTTTATTGTTGTATTATGTAATAAATTATTTTATTTGAATATCTGTATTAGCATATATATGTGCCCATATGAGAGTGGTATTTTAATTTCACAGGTTGTTGAAAGCATCATATTTAATGACTTGAGAAAATGTGATTTTGGAGCATATGAACTTGAAAACAGATGATTGAGGATCATATACTACTTCTTGGAAAATATGTTACTTCATATTTTTCTCATCAATCAAAATGCCAAAATAATTCTCCTTCATTGCTTTATGCCCACTTATTCTTACTACCAAAAGAGCCCTAAGGGGAAATTAAAGCTGCACGTTATGGAGGTCAACATTAGAGTCTATAGGTTTTTCGTTTGAATTGATCTAAAACTAAATACATGGAGTATAATTTTAGTAGTAATAGATCTAGTGGGGGGATTGTGACTTTGGGCGATCAAGTCATTAATAAAAGTATACGTTTTAGATATCTTGGGTCTGTTGTTTAGAGTGATGGTGAAATAGATGGTGATATTATTAATAGAATTCAAGTTGGATGGTTGAAGTGGAGGAATGCATCGGGCATGTTTTGTGATAGGAAAGTTCCCCTCAAACTTAAGGGAAAAGTCTATACGATGGTGGTGATACCTGCAATGCTTTATGGTGCATAATGTTGGCCATTAGAAGGGAGACATAATATTAAGTCAAGCGTTGCAGTGATGAGGATGGTCAGGTGGATGAGTGACTTTACACTTAGAGACCGGATACGAAACAAGCATATACATGAAAAGGTTGGAGTAGCTCCAGTGACAGATAAGATTAGAGATACTTGACTTAGATGGTTTGGTTACATAAAACGGCGGCCTTCCGATGACCCCTAGTTAGAAGATTAGATATATTAAATTTGACTTATGTTGAGAAAGGTAGAGGTAGACCTAAAAAAATTTGATTAGTAAATATTAGAATTGACCTTTTTTATTATATTTAATTGAAAATTTGACTATTAATAAGATGCAATGGAGAAAAAGGATTCATGTAGCCAACCCCACATAGTGAGATAAAGGCTTGATGTTGTTGTATTTTAGGGCAAAGTGAATCGCATTCATGATCAAAATAATTTCTACATGCATGGTGTGTTTTTTTCTTAATCTCCTACAGAAGCCTTTAACTTGGAAATACATGACAAGTGAACGAAACAAAATACGAAAAGGAAAAAAATTGTCGGCCTTCTTCAATGCTGGTTGTTCTTATGTATTTAAATACTGAATTAATACTAGTTCATATGACTTATATTTCTTTTGTTTTCTAGCATTTCTTCCATCTTGATTGTGCAAAATTGATTATGGTTCACCTATGATTTGGGAGGCCGCAATCTATTTGGCAAAGGTTTAAACCAGCCATTTTTTTCCAATAAATAAGTAATGAAGTAGACCTTTTGCAGTAACAGTCAAATTTTCCTTAAAAAAAGGGATAACTTCAAAATGGTCAATTTAGTTATTGAGTTTTACATTGCTCCAATTTAGTCTATCAACTATACAAAATTGATCTAAAATATTCCCATTGGGATTAACTTGGGATCAATTTTATATTGTCTAAGTATTAAATTAGGATCAATTTTATATCACAATTATGACATGATGGATCATTTTGGATCAATTTCATATAATCAACAAATTAAATTGAAGCAACGTATACTCTCTAAGATTAAATTGGCCACATGAATTATTTATGGACTATTTTGAGGTTTTTTTTAAAAAAGTTCAATAAAGTACTTATTTCTGTGATGCACGGACACGGACACGGTGACACGGACACGACACGACACGGACACCGCTTTTTTTGAAATATAGGACACGGGTACGGCGAGGACACGGCAATACATTTTTTTATATTGTGTATATATATTAATGTAATATCATATTAAAAATGACAAACAATAATAAATGAATGACATAATAACTTTTCTATCTTATAGTATAAAATATTTAGTACAAAATGTCTAGTACAATAACAAAAATATAAACAAATAATCACTTACTACAACATCAAGCATTCAAGCTTCAACTATTAGGATTAGCTTTAGAGGTTTGTTTTTGGCATTTAACATCATCATCATTGAATATCACTGCTTTCGACTCTGGTTCAACAAGAAAAAGATTTGTAATTGTGCAAAAAGAGAGGAGATGAAAATACCTTCACTGCCAAATTGAAATAAAAATGAGAATATTCGATGAAGGTTGTTAAATGTAGACGTTGATTTGGTGTTGTGGATAGAAAATAAAAAGTTTAGTTTAAATCTCGCCAAAATAAGAAAATATATTTTAAAAAAATTATAAAATATTTAAGATATGCGTGTCAGACACGCGTGTCCAATTTGTTTTTAATATTTTTTTAATCGGACACGTTTTCGACGTGTCTGACACATGTCGGAGGATTGTCGAACGAGTGTCGTGTCGGACACTGCACGCCTCTTTGAGGAGAAGTGTCGGTGCATCATAGACTTGTTTCAGGTTTGAGTGGTCTACTTTTTGATCTTAAATGTTTCCTATATTTGATATTCTCTGATCTAATCTTCGGATCAATTACCCAGACTAGCTTTCACTATAAGCAGTTTTTAAGCGGTTACCGCTAATACAGTCAAACAAACCATGAATTGTTGTGCATGTTAAGCAGGGTTAGTACTTAGTAGAACCAAAGCTATAAAGTCTGTTAGGCTCATATATCCTCCATTTTACCTGCACCTGGCCTGACTTATTTTATCTGACATTGCACCTTTCTGTTATATAACTTGATTATGAATTGTTTCTTTTGTTTCATTCTCCATGCAAGTAACACTTCAATTGTATATTAGGATTATTTTTCTATCGTTTAGGTACCAGGAATTGTGTTTGCGAGAGGGCCATCTGTTGCTGTGCTGATTCTTCTCGAGTCTGAAGAGGATACTTTCGTTGTACTTACAGAACAGGTACCAAGTGGGGAACTTCTGTGAAATGTAATTTATGTAGTTGAATAACCTGAAATGTTATAATTGACTAGTCTCTTACCTCGCTTTAAGGAGCTTATCACCACAAATGTTGATTTCGGTAGCCATATTGTAATTCTTCGTTCGTTCTTCCTTTATTTGATGTTTATATCACTATACTGCAGTGAACTTTTATGCCATATTCATTGACCATGTAACACATTACAGCTTACTAAGACTTTTGTTTTAAAAATATGCATATAAGGTTAGGGTTCCTGTTGGAAAGTTAATTTTGGAGTTACCAGCTGGAATGGTTGATGACGAAGGAGGTGATGTTGTTGGCACTGCAGTTCGTGAGGTTATGTGCTCTATTCTTAATCCTTTGCCCTAACTGTGCAATTTTGCTATGCTTATATCCATTTTTCTTCTTTCATTAGGATCAATTCTTAATGTTATTTATGGCGCATTTCTTATTTTATACTTTTTCCTCCTTTCATTCTTTTTTACCTCCTGATAAGCATATCCTTGTCTGTACCTGCTTGTATCGGCTAATCATCTATTGCGCCTTCCATTCAATTTTGTTTTGTTTTGAAAGCTCTTTGATCTTATTATGTTATGGAAATAGGCTGTAAAAGCTAATGACTAATATTAACTAATTCAGTTGCATCCTGGTGCAAATCAGAAATTGCACACTGAATCTTCCTTGTTTCCTTATTTTTACTCTACTACGCGAGAGTCGTTTCTATTGCTCTGGTAGAAGCTTTTCAGGTATGCTAATGCCGCTGATGAGATTATGCAGGTTGAAGAGGAGACAGGTATAAAACTGAATGTGCAGGATATGGTGAACCTGACAGCATTTCTTGATCCCACAACCAGTTGCAAAGTTTTCCCATCCCCGGTAATTCTTGAATTGTCGTTGTTTATTGAGTAGAGCCATTATCTGTTATCTTACATTTTACAACTTATTATCTTCTAAAATAACAAACCTGGCCTGCATTACGTAGGTTTCTCTATAGACCTAGTCACCTAAAGCAATTATCATGTGTTGAGAAATATTGAGAGGAAAAACAAAATTAGTCTCTAATTGGCTTATAAGTGAGACTATGAATAGGCATAGAGGAGAATATAATAATGAAATAAATAATCAAGATAACATCCGATGATGATATCTTTACAATATTCTATTTCCATTATTAGAATTCTTAGACTGGTCCCTATTGGACCAATCCAACCAGCCCTTGGGTTTATGCTTTAAATAGGAGAAGATTAGGAGGATTAGGGTATGCAAATTATTGTGGCATTTCTTGTTCCTAGAGTTTGTTCTATTCAACAAAACCAACAGATTCTTACAGGTACATATATAATGCAATGATTATAGAGCACATGTCTCAATGCCTATTTATAATTTTACTTTCACTTATGCCTCCCTTTAACCTCTCATACCCGCTTACAGCAAGTAGGGCTAAAATCAAACAGAGCAATGTTGCATAACCTCCCGCACCTACTTTCAGCAAATAGGCCCAAAATCCCTCCCACGTCTACACAAGGCATATGTGGCCAAAGCATAATATATAGGACCCTTGTAACATATTAGACAGTTCAGTTTTTTACATATCAAAACATCTTCAATGTTATATTATTAATAGTGCAAATGCAAATGCAACAACTAAATTATAAATTCGATGTAGTACTCTGATAATGCATAAATTGCTAGTAAAAGTCACATTGCATGTATAATATTATATCCACTGAATTTTTCCTATTCAACTTCCAACTTCAGAGAGATATTCATATAAACATTTGAAGGCTTTCATATATCTACTGCAATTGCTAGAAAAGCTTATATTAAACCATATACTCATAAATTTGTGTAGGAAAAATCAACTAGTGAAAATTTGATTTGTTATAGTCAAAACATTCAAAGTAAAGCGAATAACAACATATTAAAAGTTTCACAGTGAAAACTTCTTAAAATTTGAGAAAAATACATTTTGTCCACCACTATTCGGAATTGAAATTAGATATATGAGTTCAGAAGTCAACCTCGTGCTATAAATTATCTTAAAAAGGCCTAACGAAGGAATCTCAAGTTTTGGCCGCCAAATCCTCTCTCTTCTGCTGCCCCTTTCCCACCTCTTCCTTTCTTCTTTGGCAAAGTGGTTGGGTGAGGGATCTGTACAAATGAATTAAGATATTTTAAATATTTTAAAACCATTAACTTGTTCTGGCGCCGTGGTGCTAGCCTTCCCGGCACCGCTGCACTCAATGAATATTCCATGTGCTCTCAGAATAAATCAAACAGAGAGCTCGACGTCATGGCGGTGAGTCCTAGCTCCACAACACCCGCTTTAATTTGGCTCTTGAATAAAGAATAAGATACCGTGACGCTACATATCTTGGCATCACAATGCTCCCTGCACAAACTGATGACTTACCTTTGTCTTATTCCCAACGCGCTCTCTGGCTTAAGGGTTCATTGGGTACTCTAAACTCATAATTACCAAATAGAGCAAAATTAAATGCACATTAACATAATCATCTGGATGTTCGAATGGTGGACATTATAGACGCTTATTTGAATATGACAATATGGTGGGAGCTATTCTTATAGGTTGAGATCAAGGATGAGAGGAACATATATGCAAAGGAGTAGAGGTACAAAGAGGAGCTTTTATTGGAAGGAAAATAGTTGGTGAGGGATCAAAAGTGGAATAGGGGAGGGAAAATAAGATTCATTAAAGAACTAATTACATTTTTTAGTTCAAGAGTACCTAAGAAAGATGCATCAAATAGAATGGGTAGAGAGTTTGTTTGGTGAGTGAAATGCATGAACAAAGAAGATATAACCAAAGTCCTATGGAGTAAAGGGAAAAGAGGCTTGCAGGGTAAGAATGGAGATTAGTGGTTTAACAATAGAGAATGACTTTGCTTGATGAGATAGCAGGCGCTTACGATAATCCCTCTAAAAGTGATGTGAAATATTTATGTGAAACATTAACATCTGGGCAACATCAAGAAAATGTCAGTCTTTCAGCAAGTCATTCTGTTGAGCTGTAGGAGGATAGGAAATCTGACGAATAATTCCATCGATAGAACAAAAGCTGCAAACTTGAGATTGCAAGAATTCTAAAAAACATATTTAGTTGTAATGTTATGATAAAATTAGAAATTTAAACTTTTTTTCTCAATAAAAGATTTGAAATACATGAAGAATCTTAGAGAAGCATTTAAGTAAACTCATGTGACCTATAAAATATCATCAATGAAGATAACAAAATAGTAGTAGGCTCGGTGAGTAAGGTTTGAGTTAAAATCCTCTAGATGTCTGAGTGAATTAACTCAAAAGGATGAAAACAAGGACAAGTGATTGACGAGGGGAATGGCACATTATGGTGTTTACTAGCTTTTATGCATGGTAATCAAATTTTAGTACTTGTGGTGTACTAAAAACAAAGTTCCAAAGTATGTTAAGAGGAGGATGACCCAATCAACATTACTCAATGAAATGAAATGAAATAATGGAAGAAAAAGTGGAAGAAATTTTAATTTTTTGGTAGTAGATCCCACCAATTTTAACATCTCCACTAATACTCTTCTTCTAGCTAAGATCCTAGAAGATATAGTGAGAGGGATAGAATATTAGAAAATGTTTATGTGATTTCATAATATTATGAATAAATAGTAAATTTACAAAAAATTGTGGGACAAAACATCAAAGATAAAGAGTTCGCAAAGGATTCATGCGGTCTTTCCAAGAGATGGGGGTTGGAAGAACTAACAACCACCATCACAGGAGGGAGATCATGTGGAGAGAGCAGAAAAGTTTGCAGTCACTTATCCTATGGAAGAGACACTTGAATCTAAAATCCAGGGTATATGTGAAAAGACGGTTGCAACATATCTTGAAGAGAAAATTATAAAGAAAAGTAGATTTTGAGGATTGAGCATCATTTGATCAAGCGATCATCTTCATCTTGAGAAATCATGATAGAACCCAAGGGAGCACTATTGGTGGAAGGATCACTAAAGGAATAGAGATTCCTGAGGCATACGGGGTGATGAAAGGATAGACAAAATTTATCCAACATCACTATAAACGATGATTGGTGCGTCCATAATGAGAACATATAGGATAGAACTTCACCTCATGACTTGAACTAATATCATTACATCCTCTATGATCATAACCATTATGGCCCCCACAATGCTCGGTAGTGAGGTTGGTTTGATCAGAAGATAAATGAGAAGAAATCAATAGCTCGGTGATGGAAGAACCTACAAAAGAGTAATTGCATGATTAAGTTGTGGAATTGGCCATTAGTGGAGACTGTAAGATGAAATGATAGATGAAGCTTGAAGAGATATTTATCAATCAGAACTTTGTAATTTGTTGCTTGCGGTCTATAATGAAGCACTCCACTTATCTTGCAAAATATTATTGTAGTTATGAATAGACGATCCTTCTATTGTAGACAAAATATGTCAGAGTAAGAAGTGCAGACTCTAAAGATATTACTTTTTTAAAAGTGGAATTGGAAAAAAATCTATATAACCTTGACAACCTTATGATACATGAATGTGGATGCAAAAGAATGTTTGAGACTATTGAGGAGCCAAATGAGAACAATATGGGAATTCTTATGAAGCATGACTCATGATGAGCTTTTTCATTGTGGCAACTACTTAATGAGTACATTTATCTATTTACCGCTCAAAAATTCTTTTAGTACCAAAGAATCTCCCTAACATCCCAAAAGCTAATTGGATGGAGGAGAGAAGAAACAAAGAGGACAGCAGGTCCCACAAACTTCAAGCTACGTGGTGAATCTTTGTCGTTTGTGCTTTATAAAGTTTCTGAGAGCTTTTCCCGCTCTTTTTTTCTAGAAGGATAATGAGATCTTTGAACCGCCCAAACAAACGGAAGTTCAGAGTCTTAGAAAATGGATTAGGGGGCTTGTGAAAAAAAAAAAAAACAAATGCAAATTACAAAATAAATTAGCATTTATCTTGTTTAAATATCATACTGTGCAATATTTCACAATCAAGGTGGCTATTAGCCCACACCTTTCACTCTAATCCAGATCCCTCATTCCCCTTCCAATTGCACAATGGCACAATTGGAAGTCTTTTTGAAGGTCTTTTGCAACATTGATGTCATTACAAGCTGAGAAAACCTAAATAAGTAATCCAAGAATAAAGAATATTATTATGTTTCTTGAGTTTATGCCGTCATTAATCTTCTTGTTCTACATAGGAGAAACCCATTTATCTAGCCTATTTCCTTATAGGGTGGTTGTGATGAGGAGCTTAGTCTTTTTCTTTACAAAGGAAATGTGAAGAAGGAAATCATTAAAGCATTGCAGGGGAAAGAAATGGGCCTGCGTGACCACGGTGAACTGATTAAGGTACATGTCGTTCCCTATGATAAGCTTTGGCGTATCACAGCGGATGCAAAAGCTCTATCTGCTGTTGCATTATATGAAATGGCTAAAAGAGATGGTCTTCTCTAGTAAGGAAATGCATAAGATGGTTTTGTTTGATTTTTCTTTTCCCTATAATGAACTAATTAAGTTGTTTGTACAATTAAATATTTTATACAATGAAATTAATGTGGTTTGAGAAATACAAAGATGAATTGCTGCTATGCATTATTTCCTGATTGTATATGCAGGTGTTGATGCATTCGTTTCACAATATATTATGCCAAATCAGCAGGTTTGTTTCTCAGGTATGGATTTTTACGAAGTTCATATATATATATATATATATATATATGCTCTATTTTTTTTTTCTCGATAAAAATTTTCAAATTTTCTTGTGAGTATTTTCCTAATTATCAAGTTGAATTGGGCTAATATCAAGTAATTTAGGGTCTGTTGGGAAGGGTTGCAATATTTTATGAAGTTATTTGTGAAGTTGTTTTAGATAAAATAACTTAGCTATGTAATTTGCAAAAAGTAACTTTCCACTATATATATTTTTGAAAAGTGTTGAGGAAATATTAAAAAGATGTAGTTAAATGAAATTGTGGTTGTTATCTTTAAAGAGAAGCAACCAAGAGGTCCCATGTTCAAAGATTGTGTAAGTGATGTGTGTATAAAAATGTCCCAAAAAAATGAAAAGACTAGGAAGCTCTCCCAAACACGAGAGATTATTACGTGCGGAGTCCGAACACAGAGAACCGTTTGATTTTGTGATTGTGAATAGTTAAAACACAGGAGTGAACAGTGCAGTGATGAACATTAATATTGTGGCTTCTTTGGACGGGCCGAACAGGATGGACATCTAGCTAGGGCAGGAGGTCGGTCGGCCAAGGAAACGGGAGAGAGGGGGCGAGTGGGATATCTTCGGCGCATGTAGTGCGAACCACAGAGAGACCAATGAGAGACGGGGTGTTTCGCCTCCTGGATTTGCGAACAGAGAGAACGAGCGCGATGGGGCAGAGGAATGTGAATGCCTCGACTAGGGCAAATTATTGGGTCAGGTGACCGGAGGCGGAAAATAAGTTCGAATATCCAATAAAAATTTATCGCGTCACCTTGCGCTTTAGTTGCGCTTTTTGACTTGCTCTTTAGTTGCGCTTTGGTTGCGCTTTAGTTGCGTTTTTTGACTTGCGCTTTAGTTGCGCGTGCTTTAGTTGTGCTTTAGTTGCGCTAATTTTAAAATAATATTTTATTAATATCCGGACCCATCTCTGCATTCGGTCACCTGACCCAATAATTTGCCATCTAGAGAGAGGGCCTGACTGGAATTGGATTCAGATTCACTAAATAGCAGATTAGTGTTTAATTAGAATTAATTTGGGCTGATTTGGGTTATAGTTGACTCAATTTGAGTCGATTTAAGTTTAATTTAGTTTGATCAATTTCATTAGATAAATTTAAACCTAAATCATCATCAATTTGGGTCAATTTGGGTATGACGCGACTAAAATGAACTAATCTAGCTTAATTGAGCGTAATCGGGTCTAACTCGGCTCAATTTCGAGTCGATTTGAGTTCAATTGGGCCTAATCCAGTCAATTTAAGAAAATTGAGCTCGAATCAACACATTTGAACCTAGATCAGCATTGATTTGAATTGAATTAAGCTCGACGGAGCTCAATCGAGCTGATCGAACATGCTCGAGGGAAAATTGCATGAAAATTGAGGTCAACATTTTGTTCTAAATGAAAGTATCTGTTGATGCATGATCTGTATGGGCATAAATATTTCCTTAATAAATTCTTACTCCGACATGCAAAATTTAAAAAATCTTCAACTCTTTTGTATTCACGACTCCATCTTTGACTTGATTATTCAATTCTTATTCATTTTAAAATTGAATAACAGTTTTTAACCATTGATAATTGTTGCGGCCTGGAAGATTCGTAGCGATAGAGTGAGTAAACTTTTTGTCTTAGCGATGCACGGATATCCAGCACCCAAGCAAGAAGAGAATAAGAGAAGAGAAGGAAGAGAAGGAAGAAGCTCCTCCTCGACCACCGCCGGACCACTGTCTGATGCCATTGCTCCGCCGGACCACCACTTGAGGCCCTCACTTTCGCCAGACCACCGCCTGACGCCGTTGCTCTGCCGGACCACCACTTGAGGCCCTCATCTCTGTCGGACCACCGTATGACTCTATTGCTCCGCTGGACCACCACTTGAGGCCCTCACCTCCGCGGGACCACCGCCTGATGTTGTTGCTCCGCCGGACCACCACTTGAAGCCCTCACATCCGCCGGACCACTGCCTGACGTCGTTGCTCCGCCGGACCACCACTTGAGGCCCTCATCCCCGTCGAACCACTGACTAACACTATTTCTTCGCCAGACCACCACTTGAGGCCCTCACCTCCGTCGGACCACCGCCTGACGTCATTGCTCCACCGGACCACCACTTGAGGCCCTTACCTCCACCTGACCATCGCTTGACGTCGTTACTCCGCCGAACCACCACTTGAGGCCCTTACCTCCGCCAGACCATCGTCTGACATCGTTGCTCTGCTGGACCACCACTTGAGGCCCTTACTTCTGTCAGGCCACCACTTGATGCCAAGAGTTCTCCCGAAGTACCGCCTTTCTATCACGGTTTTTATGACCCCTGTCTCTTGCCGACTACGGTCCTTCCGACCTCCATCACCAAACAATGGTCTTTCTGACCCTGGTCTCCTGCCGACTACGGTCCTTCTGACCTCCGTCGCCTACTATGGTCCTTCCGACTTACATCGCCAGACGACGGTCTTTCTGACCCCGATCTCCTGCCAACTACGATCTTTCGGATCCCTATCTCCTACCGACTACGGTCCTTTCGACCTGCATCACCTACTATGGTTCTTCCCACCTCTATCAAGAGACAATGGTCTTTCAGACCCCAATCTCCTGCCGACTACGATCTTTCCGACCTCCGTTGCCTACTATGGTCTTTCCGACCTCCATCACCAAACAATGATCTTTTTGACACCAGTCTCCTGCCGACTGCGATCCTTCTGACCTCCGTCACCTACTATGATCCTTCCGATCTCCATCAACAGACAATGGTCTTTCAGACCCTAGTCTCCTGTCGACTACGATCCTTCCGACCTCCGTCGCCTACTATGGTCCTTCCAACCTCCATCACCAGACAACAGTCTTTCTGACACCGGTCTCCTGTCAACTACGGTCATTCCGACCTTCGTCGCCTACTTTGATCATTCTGACCTCTATCAACAAACAATGGTCTTTCAGACCCCAGTCTCCTGCCAACTACGGTCCTTTCAACCTCTATCGCCTACGATGGTCCTTCCGACCTCCATCACCAGACAATGGTCTTTCTAACATTGGTCTCCTGCCGACTATGATTTTTCCGACCTCCGTCGCCTACTATGGTCCTTCCGACCTCCATCAATAGACAATGGTCTTTCTGATCCTTGTCTCCTACCATCCTGGTCTCCTACCAGCTACGGTCTTTCGGTTCTCTGTCTCCTGCCGACTACGATCATTCCGACCTCCATCACCTGACAACGGTCTTTTCGACCTCTATCCTATCAACTATGAATGTGCCGACCAAACAAACACATTTATGTTGATTATTGTAACTCCCACCATGTAATGCATTCTGAATGACATACATTTGTAACATCAAGCCAATGTCTTCTCCCTAAGAAGGGCCTCATTTGTAATCGACTGCAAATACTAGTGGATTCATTCAAACTGGGCCAGTCCCGTGGTTTTTTCCCCTTTTCAAGGGTTTCCACGTAAAAATTTTGGTCTCTTATGAACGCTACACCCTCTCACTTATCTGATTGTGTGTTGGATCTTCATATAATGCTAATACGATAAACCATATATTTCTCTACCGCCACGAATACTCCATGACACAACAATAATAATTCAGAAATTAATTCAATTCATATTTTTATTAGTGTCATACATATTATGTGAGCAAAACTAATTCATAGGAAAACTATAGCTGTATAAATTTGAGTTACTTTATAAAGAAAAACTCTAAAAAAATAATTCGAAGCAGACTTAAATTTGTTTCCTATTTTTTGAATCTCGTTTCAATAAATACCCTCCTAACACAACAAATCATTCAAGCTTAGGTGCAGTTCAATGAGGAAGAAAGAGAAACATAGAATTAATGCTAACAAAACCGCAAGAAATAATGTCAGTGCAGGATAACATTGATAATTAAATACAATAGTAAGAAATCACTCCAAGATTTTTCTTTTTATTTTTCAACCTTCCATCAATAAGTAACTCATCTTCTGCACCAATAAATACAAATACTAAGTAATAGTAAGAAATCTCTCCTTGAAGGGTGACTAGAGAAATCAGCTCAAAATCCAAAAAGCCATTAAAAAAACTAGCACAGTATCAAAACAGGGTTTACTCATAATTTTCTTTCGCTCAAAATAGTGCCAACTATAAAAATTATATTTAATTCTACTATCACTTTTGCATGTACGTTTCAGTTTGCTAGCAAATGTCATAGTAATTAATAAAAGCACTCGTTTATGTGAATTTTTCTCTTTGTTGTATGATGAAACAGATAACATGTTGCACTGCCCAAATCTTTTGCCCAGTACAAACTGTGCCAACAATAATAATAGTTTTCTAATATATCTTTCTAGTATCCTTAATTTTAAACCTACACTAATCATGCAATAACTCTACCCGATCTCCAAGTGTCGCCGGAGTTTTGCCCGATCCTTCCGATCTCCGTCGTCAGACTGCAGTCCCTCCGGCCTCCATCGTCCGCCGACTACGGTCATTCCGGCCTCCGTCGTCCGCCGACTACGGTCCTTCCGACCTCCGTCGCCCGTCGACTACAGTCCTTATGACTTACGTCGCCCACGGACTATAGTCTTTATGTCCGCTATCGTTCGCCGACTACAGTCCTTCCGACCTCCGTCGTCCGCTGACTACGGTCCTTCCGACTTACGTCGCCTACCGACTACAGTCATTCCGACCTCCGTCGCCCGCCGACTATAAATCTGTACTGTCCTTTGGACTTACGTGGCCCACCGACTACAGTCTTGCCAACCTCCATCGTCCGCCGACTACGGTCCTTCTGACTTTCGTCGCCCAGCGACTATGGTCATTCCGACCTCCGTCGCACGCCGACTATAGTCCTTCTGACTTACGTCGCCCACCGACTATAGTCCTTCCGACCTCCGTCT